AAACTCAAAGAGATCTGCCTGCCTCTGCCTCCTGAGTGCTAGGATTAAAAGTGTGGGCCACCAACACTTAGCTTGTTTCTTTGTGTTAAATACAGCAAAGACCAACATGCCTGAATGTGTTAGGAGCCTATCATAAACACGGACTGTAATTTTGTCCACTGGTTGGACTGTTTTTTTTTTCCGTTTTTGTTTTTGTTTTTTTGTTTTTGTAATCACAAATAACACTAACATTATTGTGCTCATAACAAAATCACACTCAGCTCTCCAAAGGCTAGTGTGATTAATCCATGCTTGAGAAGGCCACGGGCTTACCCAGGAAGTCATCCGAGGAGAGCCTCTCAAAGTCCCAGACCTGCAGCACCAGCACGGCTGGGCTCTTACACTCCATCTTCTCCAGGGAAAAGATGTTCTCCCGTTTGGTGATGACCATTTGCTTCTCGGCCGGCAGATACTGGAACGGAAACAGGAACCGCCAGTTGAAGTTCCCTTCTCCGGTCAGGGAGTTGTAATGGACGTCGGTCTCCTGCCTGTCGTCCTCCAAACCCTTGATCCACCTGCATAAAGATAAGGAAATTCAAACACTCAGAGTGTGTTATTCAGGCACCGACAGAATCAAGAGTGACCTTGCCAGCTTCTGTGTGCCTGAGCCACAGCTTCCCATGATACGTAATGATATGTAATAATACATAATGATATATATAATACGTAATGATATATATAATGATTTATAATGATACATAATGATATGTAGTGATATATAATATGTAATGATATATATAATGATTCATAATGATACACAATGACATGTAATGATATATAATATGTAATGATATATAATGATACATAAAGATATATATGATACATAATGATATATATAATGATACATAATGATACATAATTATACACAATAATATGTAATGATATATAATGATATGTAATGATATATATATGATATGTAGTGATATATATGATATGTAATATATATATAATGATTCATAATGATACGTTATGATATAAAATTATATATAATGATACATAATGATATATATAATATGTAATGATATATAATGATTCATAATGATATATCTGATACATAATGATATATATGATATATATAATATATAACAATATATGTATATATAAAATGGTATACATATAATGATACATAATGACATATATATGTAATATGTAATGATAAATATGATACATAATGATATATATAATACATAGCAATATATATATATAATGGTATACATATAATGATACTAATGATATATAAATAATGATACATAATACATAATGATATATAATGATATATAATGATATATATAGTGATATATGTGATATGTAATTATATATAATGAAATGTAATGATATATATGATATGTAATGATATGTAATGATATATAATGATATGTAATGATATATATGTAATGATATGTATTATATGTAATTATATATACAATGATTATGTAGCTGGGTTCAGATGGAAGTTTCCATTTTAATGTGAAAGAGAAAAACCAGGATCAGAAAGAATTCCAAAGCAGGTTGTGTAAGTGTCGTTGATGTTCAAGGATAGAGAATAGGACAGGAATGTGTTTGTGGTTGGAGCCCCTGTCATGCTGGGAGCCCCCTTTGTAAGAGCTGTCATCTCCACTCCAGTGTGCTGGAACAAGATTACACTGAAGCCTCTAAAATTGGGTGGTTAGACCTGCGGTCATGGCTGGGACTCCCCTCTCCTCTCTGGCTCGCGGTCCTGATAGTGTAGCCGGTTTGGTCACTGTGGTACAGGGGTAGGAGCGGGTGTGTGATGGGGGAGGAAGTAGGTGGGCTGCCCACAGCCGTTCAACCTCCAATTTCTGGCTCCACCCTCTCACCATGTGGCCTCAGGTCAGTTATCTGATGTCTTTGTGTCTTACACGTGTCTGTAAACATTGAAGCTGATTTGGTTCCTGGGTCACAGGGCTGCTCTGAGGAATTCCATGACACACATCTGTATTATTGCTTTCCCTCCATGCTAAGAATAACGTAGGTGTCAAGTAATATGTTCCCCTAGTGCTTCATCCATGAATTAGTTAACACTAATTCAGAAAACAAGTGCTTTTCATCCAAACTCATTCAGAATTCAAACAACTTGTTTTCTTTTTTAAAAAGATTTATTATTTTTCGTTATGTGTATGTGTGCATCTGTGTGTGGGCAAGCGCAAGTGTGTGTCCGTGTCCAAGGAGGCCAGAGGTGTTGGATTCCCTGGAGCTGAAGTTACAGATTCCTTTGAGCTGCCTAGTGTGTGCTCAGGTCCTCTGGAAGCGCAGTGTGTGCTCTTAACCACTGAGCCATTTCTTCAGGTCTTAAGCCACCTGCTTTCACCCCTCCTACCTAAGGAAGATGAAAACCCTTCTCTTCACAGAGGAGTGGTGCCATTTTGGATTTGGGCACACTTACTTAGCTAAACACAAAAAGAAAATGGCAGCAAGATAAAATAGTGGGATGAGAAGAGGCTCAAGACAATGCCCTGAGCTATTAACTGCCGGATGGAAGAACCCTGAGCTTCCAAACCCTGAGAGGTGGGTGGCCAGCCTAGGAGGAAAACAGGAAGAACACACTGCAATAGGGTTAAGAAAGAGATTGCCTGCAAAAGGAGGGGGCAGCTATGTCAGGCGTCCCTACAGCACAAGAAGAGAAAGACTAAAAGGACAAATCCAGGCAGATCCTTTGGAATTGGTGGTAGGAGACCTGTGTTTGTGCGGTGGTGGCGAGGGAGCCGGGCCAGGCAGAGGAGAGATGAAGCAGAGGACAGTCAACATGAGCATCTTTCCATTCATCTTCATATCTTGACGGACAGGACTTGGAAGTTTCTGAACACTCCCAGAAGCCTTCCATATTGTGAGCCACGATAAAAATATCATTTTTGCAGAACACATTAATCTTTCCCGAATGTGATTGGAAATAATTTTCAGATGATTTTAATTCTGTTCTTCAAATACTATTCTGATACTTTGATTACTCCTTCTTTGTCATAATTCATTCCTCTATTCTCATTCTGGAAAAAATGCAAATTTTGAGCCACTGGGCTTCCACTGTCAAGTGTATTTAGAGTGCAATGTGCTTCTTGCTCAAGAATGGCAGAGGACTGTCACTACAAGGCTGTGATAAGTTAAAGTCTGATTCTCTACCCTTAACTGCTCCCTGACTGGGGCCTGAATGGAAGCTGGATTGAGACACAAGAGAGATATTGACTGCTTCACCCCAGGGTCCTAGGTGGAAATCTCTTTTCAGTAAGTAGAACCAGCAACTGGGAAGGCCTAAATTCCAGTCTTTGCATTAGCTTTACAATCTGCTAAACACATGGCTCATTCCTTGATAACACTCATGTTGCCCTGCCTGTTTCAGATGAAAGGCAGGTGAGCTTTTAAGGACACTTAAAAAGTTAGTCACCCAATATTTAACTGAAAGATAGTTATATAAGATTTACTCACTGAAAATGTTTTCATAAAAGAGTTCTTAGCAACATGATCCAACAAGACAAAGTTTTTACACAGAAAGTGGCCTTACCTAACTTAAAGCAGGACAGGTTCTTCTGTGGAGTGTGGGTAGCAGTTCCCATGAGGCATAGACTGGCTAGAGACTGAAAAGGGGAGATGGAGAAAAGACAGATGGAACTTGTGGGGGACCTTACCCTTTGACATAAATATCACTTGATTTTTGACCCGTAAAGATATTCTCATCTTCTAAAATGACATCTTCGGTATTCCAGATGGTCACCCTCAGCTCATATCTGGGGTGAAGGGACACAGTGTTAGGTAAACAACCTTGAAATGGGGCCAAAAAGCATTGCACTTTGTTTGTAAGCCTTGACTCTGTCAAGTCCCTTAGCATCAACACTGGAGGTTGGTCTGACAGAACCATGTTGATCTCAGATTCACAAGGGGATGGGTGAGGCAGGGTATCTCCTCCTTCTATGGACCAGCATCATCCAAATGAAGAGCTTGATACAGAAGCCACTGCTTCTGTCACCACAACCCACACACCAGTGTCACTGGCCGAGTGGAAAGTGAGGTGGGCATCATCTCCCATCTCAAATGCTATAACCTTTTATTCTTGGATCATGGTCCCCTCCTGTCAGGATGGGCACACTTACCCTTTGGGTTTCCTTGGTGAAATGTCAACAGGAGGTCCAAGCTGAGGTGTGTCTTTGGGAAACATGTCCACCCACATCTGTAGACGGCCCTTGTCAACAAAAGGAGATTTCCTTTAGCTTTGAGAAAGGGTGGGGCATGAAAATGGAAAATGGACCATTCATTGTTTCAAAACATCCCTTTAAAAGAAATGGATTCTAGATATGATTTGGTGTCTTTATATACACACAGTCTAATTTGTTAACAATGATAGAGGCTTTCCTTTCCCTTCCTTCTTTCTTACTTTCCTTCCTTCCTTCCTTCCTTCCTTCCTTCCTTCCTTCCTTC